GATCGATGACGTAGAGTGTGCCTAAGGAGAGTCACATGGGGAGAAGACACTCTCTCAATGAAAAATATTTAAAGAATATGAATAAACATTTACATATTTTTACTCAGAAATTTAAAAATCTAACCATATACAGCATTGCAGCAGGACAGTCTTGTGACATTTTTTTTCCTTGTGTCTTTTTTTCATTTATTACCCTTTAAAAGAAAAACAGTTCTTAGAGAGAAAGAGAATGAAATTTTTCAATTGGAAGGATAAACTGGGATGAGGAATGTATATGCAAAATAGTTTGGATGAATATATTGTTGACTTCTGCTGGTCTTTTGAAAACAGCAGTTAACGTTTAAATTTTTTCTTACTCTGATTTTTTTTTTCTTCTGTTGAATTTCATATACCTTCTGTTATTTTTTTCAAATGAATCTTACACATTTATATCTGGTAATGTGAAAAACTAATTTGAAGACAGCATCATATAATACAGCAACCATTGTTGAATTCCTATTACTTTGTCTAACAAAATCTTGTGTCATTTCTGATGCTGTTTTTGTTCTTTATGTCTCTATTTTGTATCCTTCAAAAATAAAAATAAAAGATTGAAAATAATAATAAATTCAAAAAACTAAAAGCTTGCTGCTGGATGAGGCTTAGGTGTGTGCACAGCAGTCTTGTTAGTGTTTCACCACTAACTCAGCCTTTCCCCTCCACACATTCCTCTAATATAAACAGCAGGCCATCCCTGCCCAGCAGGCAGGGCTCAGACAGGATCATGAATCCTGTGCTCAGGCTGCATTTGAAGGTCAAACAGAAACAGAGTTGAAGCAAACATTCTGGCGCACTTCGGCAATGCACTGCTTTGGAGCTCATCAAATGTGCTACCCGACCCCTTTTGTCCCAGTGCTGCTCCTTTGTTACTCAATGTGCAAGCTAGAAAATGTGAGTACCAATTGCCATGTGACTCAATACCCTTGCGAGCCAAGACCATTTGTTTGGTATTTACCTCTGGGGCACTTTGGAGTCTCCTAGAGCCAACTAGCAGCAAGTACCAAGATACCACTGGATTCTGTTTCTTCCTCCAGAATCTGGTCACCTCTAGGAAATCACAGGCCCATAAACGGTGTGCTGCTGTGCACCAGCTACGTAATTATGTGCCAGGGCTGGCACTGTGTACAGTAAGACAGGAAAGGAAAGATTGCTATCATGAACAGCTCACCATCTGCTGAGGTAGACAGAAAAGAGAGGGACCTGTGGACAAAATATTCAACACGATGCTATCCATGAGCCAGGTGTGGTGGAGGCTGAGGCAGGAGGATTGCTGCAAATTTGAGACCAGCCTGGGCTACCAAGTGAGTTCAAGGCCAGCCTGAAGCTACATAATGAAACAATGTCTCAAAAGACAAAAAGAAAAACAACATGCTACCCATGATCTCAGATGACTCCTGTACTCCTAAAAACCCTTTGGAAGACTTTTTACTTCAATGTTTGTCTTAACAGAAATAGACTGAGTTTTCAATTAATCTTGGCATGTAATACTTATCTAAGTAAAGCTGTTAACAAGTCTATATTATTCATGTAGGCTACATTTACGCATTTACTTCTTTCAAATTTATTTTCCCAGTAATTACTTTCCTATATAAATTTAAAATAGCCTTTATGCTTTGAAATAGTTATTAATTTTAAAATTTATATATCAACAATAAAGTTTATCATTTTTGTTCATGTACCAGATACTTCTCCCGCATGTCCCACCCAGAGACACAGGATAACTCACTTTAAACATAGCAAGACACTAAAAATCATTTCCATTGTAAAAAGTAGTCTGAAGTAGAATTTTGTTTATTTGTTTGTTTATTTATTTATTTATTTATTTATTGTGTGTGTGTGTGTGTGTGTGTGTTTGTGTGTATGTGGCCAGCTCAGCCCACCAGGGGGCAGGGCTGGCTGGCATGTGGTGCTGGGGGATTGAACCGTGGTCCCTGTGCT